CAGGAAAAAAAAAAAACCTTAGTTATTAATTAAACACAGGACTGGAATTTCACCTTTAGAGTTTAACTAGGTGAAGCATTTTTCTGGTTCTTGTTGCTGAGAACCACTAACTTCAGCCCAATTGACCAATTTTCATGCCTTGTTTAGTCACTTTGGTGCACCGGCTGGTTCAGCAGTACCATAAATTATCTAATCAATAAGACGACCACCCTCAGATTTCCGTGCCTCCTCCTCCTATAAAACAAGACCCGTCAGTGTCTCACTGTATGAGGTGCAGAAATCCTGAAAAAAGGCCGTTAGTAAAACGAGGTAATTGCCTCACGTCTAAATGAGTCTCCTTTGTGTGGAGAACAATGTGATGTCCTACTGTGTCATCAAGGTCCCTAGGCAACAAGCCACACCGTGTGGTCTTTTCAGCGTCCCTCTATTGCCCGTGTAGCCCCGGCGGGTACCTGTTAAGGAGCACACTCCAATACACATTATGGCCTTTTTATGTCATTTGAGCCGCCTTTACCACAAAGTCAATTTGTTGCCTGACTGAGATTTAGATCCAGCATGAGGACAAGAGATATGAGCTAAACAGCAGTTGCTGCGAATACTATAGAGATTCTTCTCACACAGAAGCAACAAAGGCAGCTCAGATTGCACTAACACGGGGTCACATCAACATATCAGTTTATCAGATTTATTATTTTCCCAGGCCTTTTTAAACGATGACATCACTCACCATCAAAGTGACGCGATCTGTCGACCTTTGCCATAACCCTCATTACGTTTCACAGACACACAGAGATGGCACCAAGAAAAGGTGATGTCAAAGGTCATTTTCCCCTCACTGGTTTGTACTTTTGAGAGGGAGGATAAAAAAAAAAGAAAGAAACGTCACCACGTCGAAGAGAAAAGGAAAAAAAAAGGAGAGGAGCTTTTGTCGCCTGCCATTGAATCAGCCAGCGTGAAGAAAAAAGCACAACCGTGTAAAATCAGTGTCGAAGTCGGGGGAGGACCCCAGCAGCAGTGTGCTTTTTTTCTCCTCCGCCGCAGCCTAAAGGAGCTCCCATTGTCCCTCTTGTCTCCCCCCCACCTCCAACACCCACCGTGGGGTCGGTCCACTATTCATGGAGCAAACTGAAGCAGGGAAAGGTATGTGACTATGAAGTCGAAGACATGAAACACAATGAAAGAGCGCCTGTGTGTGTGTGTTTCTCAATCTTCACTTTCTCTCGCTTGTGGTCAAAAGAGTGAAAGCCTCTTTTTCACCACAATTAATCGCAGGAATTGTAACGACACTCATCACTCTCTAATCTGTCACGTGCAGTTCACTGTACGTGACCTGTGGGTAAATAGAAACCATCATGTGCTTCTCTTATCAGCAACACGGTACAGCTGTAAGCAGAGGTCAGCATGGCCACTTTGTACAAGTGAAACAGTCTGTTAGTTCCTTAAACTCAGGCACAACAGAGCCTCTCCATTAAAGGCACAGCTGAACAGACAGCTTCCTGTCAGTTGAAGGAGGGAGGCATGAGTTGTGTCTCTGCAATCTAAAGATAACACTCAAACCTCACCCCGGGGACTAATGGAGGGGAGAGACGGGTCAGGAAAAGGAAACAGACGACTAATAAACAATATAATTCTTTGGGAGTATTTGCATTTCCTCTTTAGTTGATCCTGCACCAGCACCTGCAGCACTGAGGATAGTCAAGTGTTTCTCTTTAGTGAGCAAACGGTTATGTTATTTTGTAGGTGTGATTTTTAACAAAATGTTACACACAAGCTAAAAACAGACCCAAGGACTTGGGTTGATTTGCTTCACCCTGCCAATGCTGGGACAGAAAAAAAAATAAATTTGATTTGCAGTGATTTAATTAGGCCACTATGGTGCTGAAGTAGCATCAGTGCTAATTCTGTCCAATTCTATTGGAGAGATAGTGCAGCACTCAAGAGATATTTCTGGCAGCGCGCTATTTCCACCGGAGCAAATTCACTGACTGACACTGATCATATCAAGTTTATTGTAGGCCATGTTTGTGCTGCTATGCAAATTCAATCTGACACCCCTTAATGTCTGCGTGCCGGCCTGTCTTTGAGTGTAATCTCAACAGTTTGTGCTGAGAAACTGAACATACAGATCACCTTACAAAGAAAAACCCCCTCAAAACTCAGCATCAGGGCGTTTTTTTTGTCCCCCCTCACCCTCACCCTCACCCACACACACATACACTCTCTGCCATGTGGTTTGTTTTTCCTTACCATATCTGCATGTGGCCCCTGATAGGAAAACAGTCTGCAGCACTGAGGATCCTTGCGGTAGATGATGGACAGCAGCACCACGATAACCACGAAGAACACCAGAGAGGAAACTGCTTGAAGCCGGAGAGAATGAGAAGTCACTTAATCACACTGAGTCAGACACTGTGCATTTTCTTTCCACTCACTTTGCACATTTGAAGCCTGTGATGAGTTTTTTTTAAATAAAAATGTGCTTATTCGCTGTTTTTAAATGTCAGTCCATCTCTACAGTCAGAGTTTCTCTGGTGTGTTTAAAATGACAAACTCAAGTGTCTAAGCTTGTTTTTAATGGGCTTGGTAAACATAAGAGCCAAAGCTGAGACATTAAAAGCCTGTATATATATATATAGCTATCTGCATGTGTGGCTAGATTAAATCCAAATGCTGTATCCAAATGTCTCCCTCTAAAGAAACGATGTTTATTCGAATTACATCCTTAAAGCTTTACTTACAGGACGCAGCGACCACTGTGAGTTGATCAGATGTCAGCTGGAAGGAGGGGATGGTTGGAGTTGCAGTTGTGGACATTTCTCCTTCGTGATCTGTTAATCTTCCCTTTACAAATCCTCCTGAACTCTTCGGCCTCAGCGCCGGGGCTCTCATCTTACAGATCAGAAAAGGAAACTGTCCTCCTGTCGCTCGTCTTCATCGTGCGCTCAGTCCCGGACAGGCTGGCAGTCCACATGCGCTCTGCAAAGTGGGGATCTCAAACTCTCTCCACTCGGTCAAACACGCCACACAGCGTTTAAGAGCCCGTGACGGCGCACTGACGCCCTCCCCGAAGCGCGCGTGACGTCGCTGTGGCTTGGAGCCGGACAGCAGCATTGGTTTTGTTTATGGACTGACTGACACTGACTGGAAGCAGCAGCAGCGCACGGGCACACAGACTCATTACTTAGGCTAATAGGCATTTTTAAGCTGGACCCCTCTCTATGTGCGGAGGACACCAGGCCACGGACACGGAAAACAGCAGCGTCTGTGCTGCTGAATAAATATTACAGCAGGTTGCTATTGCTGCTTCCTCCGCTGTTTAACTAATGGCATCCAGACCAGTATAAGTTAGTTAACACCCCGGATTCCTGAGCTGGAGTCCCGTTACCCTGGCAACCGCGGGTGTCCCATCCTTAGAGGCTTTCTACACAAACAAAGACCCAAAATGTACCATTAGTATTCATAGATGGAAACGATGAAAACATGCGCCCCCGCCCTTTTTCTCCTTTTTTATTAGATAAACTTCATAAAGTATGTCACCCCAGATACTTTCATTATTTTATATCTTAAAGGTGTAGAGAGGCACTGACATCCCGTAGACAGGATAAAACAGATCTCTTAATATGCACTTCACATATCTGGCTGTGGCCCAAGCTTGCTGAATTGAATCAGTATATTATACTTTGCCCTCGAGACAGCGAGGAGAAATTAGTTTTGCATACTGGCCATCCTTACAGGGAGAGGGAAGTAACTAAAACTTGGAAAAGCCAAACTCCAGCAAGCTTTTTAAGTAATAAGCATTCATTCGAGTCAGCGTATTTTACACAGTAATAAATACATAAATAACGAATCCGTAAACATACAGTTTAGTGTATCATTTTATAATGAAGTAATTTTCTGAATTCGTTTTCTTAACTGATAGTTTGTGGCATTTTGTTGTTGTTGTTGTTTGTTTGTTTGTCTGTTGTTGTTGTTGTGTTTTTCTTTGGGGGGGGGGGTGTTATACCACGTATTGAATTTTACTATTTATGTAAATGCATATGAATGGGTGTTGATAGGCAGGCCTAATCAGTACAGAAAATAAAAAAATGCCTAATTCAAGTAAAATCCTGACCCATAACGCTGAAGGTGATCTGATGCCTTTGTTATGCTGCGGGTCTCGTCGCCACCTTGGAGGGAAGGGTGACTGCAAATCAATACACAGCTTTTCTGCCTAATTACCTTTGTTCTATGATGAAACACTGCTATCCTTAAGGGAGCGGTCTCTCTTTCAGGAGAACAATGCCCTCATCCTGACTGACTTGGCTTACTTTTACTTATAAAAGTAAAGTAAAATGTTGTTTATATCACACTTTCAAGAAAATATCACCGTGCACCTCATCAGATTTGCCAGATTTCATTAAATATAACATTTTTACAACGCACTTATGTAACAAAGTTTTTAAAAAAAAAGGTGGGGGGGGGGGGTCATATGAGCTCTGGGACCTGTTGGGGATGTAAATGTCTGACTTATGGTTTTGCAGTAACTCAACCCAAATGAACACCTACGGTGGATTCAGTTCTGAATCAAAGCACCAAATGAGGGACCATGTTTTGGGGGGAAACTGAGCTCCAATGTAAAGGCTGACCTCCTGAAACTTGAATCTCAATGCTAACTGAAGCTGCTATGAAGTGTAGTGTATGTTAGATTTTCCTTTAATATGTCACCTGTCAGTGTCATGTTATGTCTGTACCTGGAAGTTGAAGGAAAATATAATGCATATTTTTATTTATTCTTTTATTTTGTTTCTGATACCATTACACTGATGTTGAAGAAATGAGAAAATAGAAAATGAATTAAAAAAGAACGTTTACTTATTTATTTTTATTTCAGGCCATTGGAAATATAAAAAACTAATGTGAGTGAACGCTATAAAATACAGTCAAATAAATAAATTATTATTATTATTATAAGCAGTTCTAATCGTCTTTATAACTTTTTCCAGCAAACCGGGATGTTGAGCGACCCCGCGTGGGCGCGCCGCTCAGAATGAGCCCTGCACGCGCTCCCAGTCAACCGGAGTCGGAAAAATGGTGGCCAGCGTTCGAGTGCAGAAGCTGCTCCGACGATATAAACTAGCGATTGCCGCCGCATTAACTATCCTCCTGATTCAAGGGCTTGTGGTATGGAGTCTGAGAAGTCTGGAAGAAGGCGAGGCAGAGGTGAGGAACCGATCCTCCGGGTGTATTTGGCGTGACAGCTATTCGCTTTGGTTTAATTGTAGAGCTAGCCGTTAGCACTTAGCCCCCTGTGAGTTATAGCTGATGTTAGCTGTTAGCAGTTGGGGAAGAGCGCTGCTCCCAAACATTTCAGCACAACGGACCAGCCCTGTCCAGCCCTCCTACCTACCTACTTGCCTGCGTGTCTGTCTGTTCCTCAGTCTCTCATTGACCACACTACCTGGTGAGAAAGTATTCGTTGCTAGACTGTCACAGCCATGAAACCAGAGGAGTAGTTAAGTGGTAGTTAACTTGTTTAAGGAACAGCGGTGAGCTTGGGTACCACCGCTCATGTTTATTTCTTTTGGAAACCATGGCGTTGTTAAAATGTGATGAAAAACAGACTGAGGGGAATATCTAAGACGAATAGTATGCTATGAAGTAATGTAAGTTTGAGGGAGCATGAGAACAGACTGGTGATTCATTGATCCCAAACACTTCATCAGTGTGAGCAGGACCGCCTTCATGTAGTAGTTCCAGGATGACTTGGATCTCTTTTGTTTTATGTTTCCTACTTATTTATATCAACCTGTGGATTGTGATGTGCTTGTGGCTGTTCTGTGACTTTCAATTAGCTTTGAGTCATACCAAAAAGTTCAGCAGAGAGCTGCCTCTCCTACATACCACTGAAACCGTTTCTTCGACAGTAGCCAAGTCTTGTGTGGGGATTTTTTTCCCTGGGTCTCCCTGGCACACCTGGAGTGCGCTACCTTGAGGCAGTTTCTGTTCCAGTTCTCCCTCTAAGTCAGGTAACCTGAGCAGTTAACATAGATAGGTGAACCATGCGTGTACAGGACTCATTTTTTGAGACACACCAGTGATGATGGAGCCACAGGAATGCACACTGAAAACTGAGGTGGGAGCCCTGCCAGCTCACTATTGTGATGTATCAAGCAATGTGGTGGTGTAATTTTTTTCCAATGTGGATAGATTGAAGTTCTGTGCCTGGCAAGGTTTAAGGCAGGCAACAGATGTAACAGTGGCCGAGTGGGAGGGGAGGGAAAGATGTTTGGCTGTTCCTTCAGAGAAAGGGAAAAAGATGGGTCATTACTCTGCGGACAGTAGCCTCTGTTTGCCAAGGAAATGATTTGCTGCTGACCACTTCAGTTTAAACCATGAGCTAATCGGTCAGATGGTGATGTTAGACTAAATAAATAAATCATTTCCTTTAAATGTAGCAAGTGAGTCAACTTTTCTTGCTGAAGTGATTTTGAGAGAGGCTCCGGCTTTCATCACCTGTTCCTGTTTGCTGTTTCATCAGTTGTATTCATGCTTAAACATGCCTCAGCAAAGATAAGAGAAATGTGTGCAGGGCTGTGGTTTCTGTGTTTAAATGCAGCTCTTCTGTGTTTCTAAATGAGCAGAAGTGCACACTGCTTTATAGAAGCTCAACTGCACCTCGGGGGTTGCTGTTGAGTGTCTCAGGTGAAAGCATAATGGTCTTAAAGTTAAAAGGTGTGCAGGTGGATGGGAAAAGAGCTGCACTGGTTGTTTGCTTCACTGTTAATCAGATTTATTTATTGACTGTTTTTAATCTTTGGGCCCTGAAGTTGTGGCACTACCACTCAGCACAAATGTCAGCTCTATATGCAGCTATGTTGGCAGACATCTATGCAAATGTCAGCATTTGGTCTCTGCATGTTTGCACTCTCGCAGATGCAGAATCAAATTTCTGACTTGAGCGTGCACATTAATCATCACTTCACCTCTGAACGGTCTTCCCGTGCTCAGCGATCTCTGCCTTATCTTGCATCTGCTCTAATCAGCGTCTGGCAGTGCATGTGTGAACACGGTCACATGCGTTATATTAAATCCCTTGGGCAGAAGAGCGAAAGGATTGCGAGGACAGAAGAAGACATGACGCTTGTCATCCTCGTATCACCCTCTGCACGCCCGGGTTCTCCTGCAGAGCTGAGTGCTCGCTGCTGCTGCAGCTTCACGCTTCAGCAGATGGCAACGCTGATATGGTTTCACTCGACTTTAATTGGAAAGTAAAGAGGCTGACTGGCTTGCCTTTGAATCAATACATTTTTTTTTTTTTGACATGATGGCGTTAATTAAAAGCTGTGAACACAAGTGATAAGGAAAATTGAAATGTTAGCCCGTGCTGCGTGCTTGGCTTTCTGCACAAAAAACATGTCAGCTGGCAGCTGAAAACTAAGCTTTCTTATGAATGTTTGCTGGCAATCATGCTTGTTGTTATCATGCCATTAATGTTTTTATTATTATTCTTTTTTTATTTAATTGAATTTTACAGGAATTTGATTTTCAGAACAAAAAGTTTTTGTTGGCATTTTTACATATTTATGCCGTATTCATGCCACATTTTGCAGCTGTGGCGTTTTGCATCAAATACAATTTGGTTTATGAAAAGGTCAGAAATGGCAACAAAAAAGGATAAATCTTTGTTAAGTAAGGCAACATGGGTAGTCACTCTCTGAGGCCTATTCTGAGTTAGTGTCGTGCAGCTGGTCAGACCACAGATTTCCTCCCAGCACTTCCACAGAAGCTGAGGTTGTGTTTAGTTTGGCCTTTGAGTGTTGTGAAATTGACATAAAGATGTAACTAAAGCACCCGCTCTTACACCGATTAAAGGAAGCAAAGCTTTCTTGATGAGTTGACATGTATGGTGTCATAATTTCTCAGAAAGATGGCAAGGTTCCTTAAATGTATATAAGCATCTTCCAGTAGGTTTGCACTGCACTGACTGCTGTGTAAGTTTACTTCACAATCCCTCTTACTGTATTGGATTTGAGACTGCAGTTGGCAGCCAGTAGCTGACTTTGCTTTATTGGTTGGCAGCTGGTGTGTTGGCCATGTATTATCTGGCTCCTCGTCCCAGCGCACAGGCCCGGTCCATCTTCTGTTCCCACAATCTCTGGGCTGTCGGGGTGCCAGCGGTGTGAGGCGAATGAGCGGGCCCACGTTTTACCATAACTTCTGACAGAGGCAGAACACTCTCACCCACTCGCTCTTCTTTCTCTTCTCCAAATGAATATTTTGAAGGGACTTTTTATATGAACCAGTAATTTAGTGTGCCAGAACTATGATGTTATTTGGCTAGAAGATTTTAAATGGCTTAAACTGTGTGCGTGTGAGTGTCTTTCCCTCCAAAAAAGTCCTCTGCCTTTATTTTTTGAGGTGTGATTTCTACTCCAGTGAGACTGATTCACTCCAAGCTTTTGCTTTGAAACTGAGTCTTAGATGTAAAACTTAAACTGGGTCCTCTTTCATTTTGATACAACATCAGTTTAGATGATAACACACTATTCTCTATGATGCGTTCTTTTGTTTTGTTTTTTGCACTTGAGGAAAGAGACCTTTCTAGCTTTCATTAGTGTTTACATAATTTTCCTGCTGGGGAAAACGGGCAGCTCTGCACCTGCCCCAAAGCTGATCTTTCCCTTTTATGTTGACATTTTCACAAAAGTATAACTATATGACAAACACTGGGTGGACTTAACATTTAGAGATTTTACGGCCAGAGACTGCAGCAGTGGGACACTTCACTGATTTTATTATGTCAAAGCATTTATAAGAAGGTCTTATCTTGACATTTTAAGGAAGCTCTCAAGCCTTGGTTTGATTTTTAAGAGGTTACAGTCAAACACTATCAAAGTTAGTGCTTTACTGATTTTTTTTTTATTATAATAAACTAAAATGATAGAATATTGTTGTTAATTTGTCACAAAATCCCCCTGAGCTCTTTGAGATAATTTTAGCACTAAAGTGCAAATAAATTTGCCACATTGTCACTTCTTAATGTGTGTATGAAGGGGCTGTAAACATGTGACCTACTTGCATGTGTGTGCATTTTTCCTGCCTGTGATTTCGGCCAGAGGGAGGAAACTCAGGTCGGTACAGTGAATCACTGGAATCATGTGTGACTGTCCACTTTTTGCAGATTAGCTCCATAAAAAGGCAGAGGCTCAGCTAAAAATAACCCAGATCGGCAGAATGAAAAAAACAAAAGCAAGTAAACACATCCTTCCCTCTGGGGATCTGTCTACTGCTGCCCTAGTCGAGGTCTTTGTTTACCTTATGTGTCATTTCTGTGGATTCATTATGATTCATTATGACTCCAAAGAAATAACGCCTCCTCTCAGTAGTGGTTGTCCAAGATAACCTTATGGAATGACTGGCAACAGAGCAGGATTTAAAATATGTCTCTGCTCTCTCTCTTTCCTCAGAGAAAACTAAGACAGTCTAAGCTGCCTGACCACGACAACCAGGACCCCAAGAAAGACAACGCACAGAATTCATTGTCGGGGAGAAACAAGGGAAGCAATGGTGCCAGTGCACTGAGGAGAGGGAGCAGCCGCCGTGGAGGGAAGCCCAACATCAGGCTGAAGACCCTGGAACGGGAACGGGGAATGACAGGGGTTGGAGTAGATGGTGTAGTCCCCCACGATCTCTCCAGCAGCCGTAACCTTAGCGAGATCCGCCCAGACGGGGCAGGCAAGTTACCTGCTGCTGCCATACCAGGAGAGCCAGGCAGCGTGGACGGGGCGCACCAAGCCCCCAACAGTGACTTTGTGCCTAAATGTGATATCATAGGAAAGGATGCGCTGTCTGCTCTGCACCGCGCCGCGTCACAGCAGTGCAGACAGGAGATCGCCAACATCGTGTGCCAGCATCAGGCCGGGCAGCTCATGCCAGAGTCACTCCCTCAGTTCTGCCCTCAGCTTGGTGAGAACCCGCTAAAGTTTGCATGAGTATTTATAATCACGTGTAGTCTACGAACTTCAACGTGAAAGGAGATGAATGTAAAAAAATGAACAAAATGACACTTTTTGACATTTACTGTAATTTTTACTCACCAGTGCATTTTCAGTCTAGACATTCTTCGTTGCCAAATTTCCTTGACAGTTATAGGATAATTTTGTTTTATAGATTTTGTTATTTTTCAGTCTAACAATGTTGTAGCTGTTACAGTTTTCTTTGGTACATAATTAAAAATGCACTAAATTCAAATACTAAAAACAAAAAGATTTGACCCACTATGATAAACAGCAACAAATAGCTGTTTCATGTCCTTAACTCAGAAGAATCTTTCCATCTTTTGCCCATTGCTATGCTTAGTTTTAGGGTTATACATTATAGATTGTCAAATGTCTCTGATTGTATAGCCACATTTAGGGAACTTGTTTGCAACTGCAGTATAATGCAGGGGTTGCACTGGGCCAAAAGAGTCAACCCACGCCTCTGGCTCAGTTGTGCCATTACTGTAAATGCAGCTTGCAGTGTTGCTGAGTTGGACGCTTTGTCAAAAAGGAAAGTAAAAGAAAACCCTTTTAGATTTTGAATACTTCAGATATGTAACATGGTAAAATTAAATCTCTTTCAATCCATTAATAGTGCCTGTTAAACAGCTAGCTTAGAGGTGCCCCCAAGCCTACTGAGTCATATTTGTCTGTCCTATTGGGACAGGTGTGTCACACCCAGTTCAGGCTGTTGGTGAGCTGGAAGACAGCCTATCCGAAGTGGAGAACCCCGTCAGAGTGGCTTTCGTTCTGATGGTCCACGGCCGTGCTGTACGGCAGCTCAAACGTCTCATCAAAGCCATTTATCACCGTGACCACTATTACTACATCCATGTGGATAAGGTAATTACAGAGCTTCAACTGCCATGCAGTCTCTTTAGACAGTATTATTTTTGGTGCTTAAATATTATATTAAACAGTATGTGTTTGGTGCACTCACAGATGCTTTTCCCAGTTAGATCTTCTTGCATTATGAAGGTTAAATTTATCCCACGGGTCTCACAGTGTAGTAAAGGGGATTAGCCTGGATAGAGCAAAGTGTGGTTATTCTTAGGGGCTGGATTTAGTGGAGGAAAGGTCTGCTGTCATGTGCAGCCGGAAGGCAAAAGACAAATGCACGGCTGGTACTGAGGCAGGGACCTCAGGTGTGTTGAGCAGAGACAGCAGAGAAACAGGTGCCTGTTCTCAGTGCACCTGTGTTGCCGGAAAGGTTGTGGAGACGTAGGGAGTTGCTCTGTTCTGCTGCCAAGGGACGGCAGAGCAGCTCAGCGGAGGCAATGATGGATAAGACGTCAGTAGGACAATCACACCACAGACAGTCTTAGATACTTTGCTTGCCTAACCTCATCCATCTCAGAGGCAAAAGCCTGTTTGAGAGATGAGGCTGTAAAACAGGTCAGGTTTGTCCTAGAAAATGTCTGCCAACTGCTCTGCTCCCTCTTATCCTGTCCTCTTCTTCTCCTGTTTAAAGGCGAGTACTGAGTTCAGACTACTCTTTGACCATTCGTTCTCCTATTTTCTAATTTCTGCAAAAAAACTGTATACCCTTTTCATACAATCTTTATGTCCTCTTTTAAATATACAAGACAGAATCGATACCCTTTGTTCATGCTTTGCTAAACACAATTGGACTTTGTGTCCCCAAACAGTCACTTTCGAAGTGTCTGTGTCTCCCTAAACTGCCCATTTATTGCTTCACAACGTTTATTAGCTCTCCTTATTTGTGAACAGGCCCCTTGTTAATTAGGTTATAATTAATCAGTTTAAGTTCCAAGTAGAACTAATAAAAAGAATTGTTGAACCTTCAGTTGTTGGTTTCTTGCATATTTTAGACACTTGCAGTGGTCACATGTTCACTCACTCAATTTTTAATACCGCTGCATAAAGCTTGGCAGCTCAGCAGCCTCTATTTCTTCCTTTAATCCCCGCACTGTGGTTTGTTCCAGACTATCTTTTAAGCTCAGTTCATTTATTTTTGTCTCACCTGCAGTCACCTAAAGGAGAAACAGCCAGCAACAGAAACTAATTTTGATTCTTCCTCTATCGTCATTATGACCCACAGCACAGAGCACCATGTGGCTGTTGTTCTTCTCAGATCAAATTCTCTTTCAACAGGAGCCAGTTTTGTGTGATGGTCTTGGCACAGTGGCAGCTGCAGCTCTGTGAGAACAAAGCTAAAAGTAGATTATGCTTTTGTTTCAGAAGCAGCCTCTCCTCATTTAACTCTTTAACTGACTTTTGGTTTTAAAACTCTGACAGCGGTCTGGCTACATGCATCGGGAGGTCCTGCAGATAGCCCAGCAGTACCCAAATGTGAGAGCCACGCCATGGCGCATGGTCACCATCTGGGGAGGAGCCAGCCTTCTCAAAGCCTACCTACGCAGCATGCAGGATCTGCTCTCCATGCTGGACTGGAAGTGGGATTTTTTCATCAATCTCAGTGCCACAGACTTTCCAACTAGGTTGGTCACACACACATATACACAGAAATAAACTCAACAGCTAATCTTTGTTGCACTTTACCTAAGGTGTACATTCACTCCCACATTTGAGCCTAAATCCATGCAGTGCAAGATTAAAAAAAGATGCTTTGAGTTTAGATGGGTTACTGAAGAGGGGACATAGATATGTGAGGCAGGAGTTGCTCAGTGAATCTCAGGCCAAGTGAAAAAAAGAGGATTAGACAGATTGTCAATGAACGTCTGCCACAGAGGGTCATGGGAGATCAGGATGGTCATAAACTGTATAAATTCAAGCTTTTACCTGAAGCCCTAGTAATGCCCAAAGCTGTCTTTGACTCTCTCTCGCCCTCTTGCTATCAGTTCAGTGTCCTGCCATCAAAAGCAGTGCTGAGACGTGTGGGTGTGTAGTGAAACATTGCAGCATGGTGTTGCTTCTGCTCCTGTCAAAATCATTGAACCGCCATGTTAAAACAAAAGAAACTTAACAGCTGGTTACACCACTTATCTTTCATGATCCCAAACAGAAAAGGGTGTCTTGAGCCATTTTCACTCTGTCACAGTGAAGTTTATTTTAGAGCTAAAAATAAAAAAAAGCATTTTAGTGTGCACTACCTCTTTAACCTACTTTGTGTTTGTTGTATTCCCTCAAAGTTTGTATCTTGAGCCATTTTTCATTATTTTTGAATGCCTCTTTCCCTTTCGCAAAACTGCACCTACAATTACGGCGCTTTTTACAGCAACATTACAAAGAAACTTAACAGTTGGCAGATAAGAGAATCTAGTGGCAGCTTCAAATGAATTATTTTGGGCATGAATCAGTTTTGGCTGGCTTGTTTCTGGGGCAGCTTTGAACCCCTAACAAAGCAGCTGTTAGTCCACCTGAACCATCTCAAGGGGAAAAGGCTTGCTTGGATACACACAGAAAGACAATGTTTTCTGTGCTGTGTCCAGAGTAGTTTATTTCAGCTAGCACAATACTCATAACACAGTCCAAAGAACCCTGTAGATGGCCCTTTTTTTGGTCTCCTGCTTCAACATAACCTTTCCTCCTTTCAATTCTCACCATAATGCCCTCCTGCAGGACCAATGATGAACTGGTGGCTTTCCTGTCGCTGCACAGAGATAAGAACTTTCTCAAGTCCCATGGGAGAGAGAATGCCCGGTGAGTTTGCTACATAAAGGCAGCACAGTCTGCAAATACTGACATCGGGATGGCATTTTGACTTATAATAAATTACATTTGACACACCTTTTAATACTACAGAAAAACTGTAACTGAACAATGTTAATGAATGAAATCACAAAAAGTTGCTCTATAAATTCTCAGCAAATAGAAGTGTATTTAAATATTGCTGCAGAGAGCTCTGTCAGATCCATTATTTAATGCAGTGTTACAGTTCTTTATCATTTACTGCGATGAATGGTGCAAATACCTTCACCCGTGTCTCTTCCACCATCATTTTCAGCTGTGTCCTGTGTTCCAGGTTTATTAAGAAGCAGGGCCTTGACCGTCTCTTCCACGAGTGTGACAACCACATGTGGCGTCTAGGCGAGCGCAACATCCCCGAAGGCCTGGAGGTCTCAGGCGGCTCCGATTGGTTTGCACTCACCCGCCGTTTTGTGGAGTACGTCATCAACTCCCAGGACGAGCTTGTGTCGGGGCTGAAGCAGTTCTATTCCTACGCTCTGCTTCCTGCTGAGGTAAGCGAGCTGTAGGCAGTCTGTTTATCTCCCGTTGTTGAGACAGTTTCATATACAAGCCTGTCTCAGGCTCGTCGTCCCCTGCCAAGTCAGAAGAGCCTAGCAGCAGAGATAATGTAATACTTTAAGCTTTCTGGCACAGCGTGCAGCAGAAGTGCAAGATGAGGAGGCTTCGCTATATTTTATCTGTGTAGTTTGGTCTCAGAAGAGTTGTCTGTTCACCGCTATAGAGCTGTGACCTTTTTGTAATTTAGAGTGTGGTTAGAAACAGTTTATACGTATATTTGATGGTTTACACAAGCTTAATTTGGACACAACACTTGGCCACACTGTTTTCTCACACAGTGAAGAAATAACGTACCTACTCCTACCCTTTCTTCCCAGTCTTTCTTCCACACAGTGCTCGGGAACAGTCTCATGTGTGACACCCTGGTGGACAATAACCTGCGCGTCACCAACTGGAACCGTAAGCTGGGCTGTAAATGTCAGTACAAGCACATTGTTGACTGGTGTGGCTGCTCTCCCAATGATTTTAAACCACAAGACCTCGTTCGAATCCAGGTGAGTTCAACAGAGGATGCCACTTTAAAACAAAAAACAGGGCTGGGTGATATAGACAGAAGCCATATACACTCAGTGGCCACTTTGTTAGGTACACTTTGCTAGCACTAGGTTATATTTAAAAACATTTTAAATATTTCTTTCCTCAATCAATTAGTTTGTATTATTATCTGGCTCCTGGAGTTCTTTGGGGTTAGTTCTGACTGCAAGCAAGGAAAGGCACACAAAGTAGACTAATGAGCCCTGTTTCTGTAAGATGGGAAATCACTGTTTTTGTCAACAGAGTCCGGTGGTTTTGAATAAGCACAAGGGCAGAACCGCAGATACTTTACAGAAGAAGGGCTTTATTTAATGCTAAATCAAACTGACTTTAACTAAATTCTAATTCTTTGTCAAATATGTTTTTGCTATTTTCTCTTCCTCATCCACAGCAACTGACCCGTCCAACCTTCTTTGCCCGCAAGTTTGAGTCCTCGGTGAACCAGGAGGCCATAGACATCCTGGACACTCACCTGTATGGCCAGTATGCTCCAGGAACTGTTGCTATCAAGGCATATTGGGAGAGCCTGTTTGAGCAGCTGGATGGCGTGGGCTCTCTCAGTGATGTGGCTCTCACAGCGTACTTGTCATTCTTTCGCCTGGGCCTGAAGAGTTTGGTGACTGCTCAGAGCAACGTGAAGGCCTGCAGGTGGAGAGTCTGTTCTGCTTTGCTTTGTTATTGTCACTAACACAGCGCATAAGCTATTTTCTTTGTCATGTTTAATTTATCTATTTTTTTTCTCCCAGGTTTGAACCAGTAGGCGTCCCTCTATCTGTGCATGTATACTTTTATGATGACCGTTTCCAAGGGTACCTGGTTCGCCAAGAAGTCCAGGCAGTGGAGTCAAAGGCCAGGGAGACTTTGGAGATGTGGGCAGTGCCTCAGGCTACACTCGTCCTTGAGAAGAACCTTAAAGAATTTGAAAGGCTCAAGAATCTGGAAGTAAGCACTCTTTAGGTTTTTTTTTTTTGTACAAACTTTCAAGATCAAGACGACTGCAACATGAGGAAGATTTTCTAGCTGATATCTAAAAATTAGGGTGGCTGTATCAGGCGTGATCTGACAAAAGCTAAACTGAAGTTTAATTAGTTTAACAAAAAGTATGTTAATACTGGAAGAAATGAATATTCACTCACCTTCTTCAGACAGAAAGGAGTGGGTCTCTTTTGTAGTGTTGTCAGTGTTGTTGTATTATGTGTTACGTCCCTCTGCAGCCCCTAATCATCTCAATGTTTTCAGCTGGTGCTAATTGGCCACACCTAGTCAGGTGTGGAAAAAAGGATACCTTAGGCAAGCTTCCTGGGGGAGCTCACTTGCCTTTGCCTTGGTGGCACCAGCTGTTTTAGCCAACCTGCTATGCATTTTAGGATTTAAAACCTCTTCTCACTAACACTCTGGTATTCATCTCCTTTTTTATGTTGCGGCTTTGAGCCGGGTCGTAACATAAGGCTTTAATCCACAAGGTTCAGTAAAGCAAGCATACTAGTGACCACCCACAAAACGGAGAGCTATGGCCACACAACGATCACATCAAGGGTTGCTCAGCACCCCTCAGTGTTATTGCCATCACCTGGCCAACAACACTCACAAGTGATCCAACAAAAGTAGCCATATTTACCACAACACTAAAGGTCACAGCACAAAGCACTCACCTCACAAGGATCTCATTAGCATCCATCAACACTGACGTATGCACACACAGTATACATTATGCCAACTTAAAAATGGCCTACCTGCCTCAGGCACAAGACCATAATTATTGAATGGTCTCAAACCTCCTGCCAAGTTTGCTGCCACTGATTTACTATGCGCAACTCCCAACCTAAGATGCTAAAAACAATAAAAGTTGACCTGTCTAGTCTTCAGTGGTGTACCGGACTCGAGGCAACTTTAAACGCCAACTCGAGAGCAGGCAGCAGACCAGAGATATAGTCTCCTACCAAACTCTGTACCCCCACCCAGGATAACCACCAAACACAGTAAACTAAAAGAACAAAGCAAAATAACAAACAAGTGCTTCGATGGAAGGGCAGCACAGCCACCCAGCTGAAACACACTTACTAAAGGGACGTAGCTCAATCACAGTGAACACCTTCACTCACCCACTTAAAAGCAATACAAAAAACTGATATTCAGTCTCCACAAAAATGTCCAAAGATCCCGGACGAGCCCCCACTTATGTTACAACCTGACTCAAAGCTGCAACATAAAAAAGGAGATGAATACCAGAGTGTTAGTGAGAAGAGGTTTTAAATCCTAAAATGCATAGCAGGTTGGCTAAAATGGCTGGTGCTGCAAAGGCAAGTGAGCTCCCCCAGGAAGCTTGCCTAAGGTATGCTTTTATCCACACCTGACTAGGTGTGGCCAATTAGCACCATTGAGATGATTAGGGGCTGCAGAGGGACGTAACCTATGTCACATAAATTTTTAAAAATGACTTTTTTGTTATCCTAAGATCGGCACAGAGTGGGATCCCAAAGAGAGGATCTTCCGTAACTTCGGTGGGGTGATCGGCCCTTTGGATGAACCTCTGGCAGTCCAGAAGTGGGCACGTGGTCCGAACCTCACCGCCACTATTGTGTGGGTCGACCCGGCTTTGGTGGTGGCGGCATCTTATGACATTACAGTGGATTTGGATGCAGAGTACACACACTACAAACCGCCACTGCAGCACCCCCTGCGGCCGGGCACCTGGACGGTACGGGTGTTAAAACAATGGGAGCGTGTGGCAGAAGTTCACTTTCTTGTCATGCCGTTAACTTTTAATAACAAGGAGCCGCTACGCAAAGGTGAGACATGTATTTATAGCTCCTTATTTTCATTTTTAATTTGAAAAGATAAGGCTGATGTTTTTCTTTATTTCACTTTCTGTGACAGAATCACATGATGAAACACCAAATCAGTCAAGCACTACATTTTCCCTAAATACTTGTTCAGTCCTGTGTGTCGCGGTCACAGGGCGTCTCCGTGCCCTTTAAAAGTCTTGAACTTCAAATGTGTTCAGTCATGTCATTCCAACATTTTGTGACACACCATTTCAGGCTTTCACACATTTGGTTCACGCAGAAGTTAAAGCCATACTGTTGTTCAGTCTGCTGTAATTGGTAAATGTAAGTGGATGGGTATCAGGTGAATGCATTTATTTTTGCTTCTTTATAGTTTGTCTGACCCTTTCAGGTCAATTTTTGTGAATGCAAATGGTTAACAGTAACAGCAAGTTTTTGTTTATGTCCGCAAACATCTTAAGAATCCCTGAGGCCCAATTGGAAGACGATGCAGCTGAAGATGGTAGAGAAGAAGGAGGCCTTGCTAGTTTTACAGTACCACTTTTAAATAGCTGTCCCAATCAGTACTCTATGGAAAAGAGAGCATGCAGGTTTAATGACAGAAGCTTTTCTAATACTAAATGCTAATGGTGAATAAAGCCAGTCACCAAAAAAGCATGCTGTGCTGAAAGTATTTTTCAGGACATTATATTTTTGTTTTGTTTTCACATTATTAAAACCAATTTCCTAATATTCAAATATGTGTTTTTAGGTAAACGATGTCAGCACTCATAACGCTATTTATTGGGTGTTTTCCTGCCCCTTTATTTATTTAATTTATTTTTTAAAACTCATTTATCATACCAGTCCATGCTGATATATCGGCAAGAAACTAATGTTGGCTATTAAATTCTCTACTTTCCACTATTTTATTCCAATATTATTACATCAACTTAAGAAATATGAATTTCACCTTTGATTTCTGTTTCCAGCATGCTTTATTTGGAAAACAAATGGCAATATAAAGGTTTTAAGAAGTAGACGCACCCCTTAAAGTGCCCAAAACTACTCTCTCTCTCTCACACGCACACACACAGAAGTTTGGTGTTGCCTACAAGCTTCATCAGCTACAGTAAATAAACTACAATGCTGGTGTGTGCTGTAATCAATGACCATGCCTACCTGGGCAAACATGGCATCGGCTATGTCAGACTGCACAGTTGATGGTGTTCATTGTTAGTCTTAATCTTTGCTTTGGATTTATTGGGAATAAAAACATGCAGAATGTCCCCGGGCGTACATTAGTGCTTGATCATTAAAATCTGAAAACTTTGGTGGATTTTTCAGACACTCATGTCATCTTCTTCTGATTTTTTTCTCTCCTTCTGTTCTAGAAGAGGACAGCTGGCTTCATGCAGGACCTCCAGGGAACTTGTACCTGGAGCAGAGCTTCCAGCAGCTGAGCTCAGTGCTTAAACTGCCCCCCCAAGAACCTGCCATGCAGGTGGCCCAGCGTAATGCCCAGTTGGTGGGCCAGGCCCTTGATGCATGGGTGGACACTTCTGTTGAGTCCTTCTGGGTTATCGGCGACTTGTGTGCAACACAGACTTCCTCATGCCCAGCTTTGGGGTCTTGTTCCAAGACTGCCTGGAGCCCATTGTCCCCAGACCCTAAATCTGATATGGGCCCAGTGAAAAGTGATGGGCGGATCAGGTAGCCCTCAGAGAAGAGAGACTGCAGATGTGCAGAGAAAATCGGAGACTGCTAGGAGACCTGTGTGAACCAGGACGTCTCCGAGGTCGGCTAAGAGCTCAAGGGCACATAAGCAACGATAAGGAATCTTCCTCCACCGAGGAGCCGCGTTTTTCTCAGCGCCACAGTAATACAGGCTTGAAAGACAAGAGCATGACTGCTGGAAATTTGCACATAGGAAACTGCAAGCGCCTAGTCTTGTAGCACCGCTTACTGAATGGGTACACGGATGTCGGGTGTAACGTGTTGTTTAAGCTGTCGCACAGGTTTGCAGTCATGATCCGTCTGTGCCGGAGTTTCTTTAAGAAGTGTTCAGGTGCACAGTTTTCCTGCACTTCGGTAGAATCAACAGGCTCAGTGCCGTGCTCCGTCTTCTTTTCAAGGGAGAATCAAACCTGTGAATCATGTTATTGTGCTTATTTTGAAGCATTATTATGTAAGCATTAAGGAACAGATAGATGAAGTGCACTTTACTGTAAGACTTTGGTTTTACACAGAGGTCACTAGGTTACAATGTGAAGATTAGAAGGTAACGGTTAAGGTCATTTCTTTCTTTCTTTTTTACAATAGGAACAAACTGCCACTCCCTGTTGCACAGACGCATAAATTTTTGGACTGTAACACAGAGAAGGAAGAGTAGTAAAGAGAGTGGGGTTCTTGTGTATCCTTAGGAGTCTTGTGCTTTTTTTTAAAATATATTATTTGTGTCATTTTTTCACATTTTGTTTGTTAATTCGCAGAACTAGCTGCTAAATTGAGTTAAATTTTCTGTTGTTGCAAAAAAAGGCTCTGAGCTAAACGTCTGGTCTAAGGAAGTGCCTGGACTGCTGGTGCAGATAGCGAGGATGCATTCACAGTTTCCCTGAGATCATCTTTGTAATACGTCTTTAACTGAAAAGGAGGGATGTGCAGTGTGCATGAAAGCTCCAGAACAACAGACTGTGGACCTTAAGTCAGGACTTTTACTTCCGCTATTTGACCTGTTTCTTATCCACTCTGCTAAAGCGACTCTACTGAGCTGAAGGAAATGTGGGTAAAAATAACGTTTATTCCGATTACTCTCGGCCCACTGGGAGGATTGAAACCACTCTGTTTATATGTTAGCTCAGCATGTAGGCTGGAAATAGGAAGAAGCGGGCAAAAGCCAAGACACTCTACGTCTGAAACGCAGCTGTTTGTTTGTTTTTAAAACAACAATGTCAATGGAAGAGAATTCATTCTGTTTTACCTGTAAGACCCTCGTGTCTGTACCCTGGCTACTCCGTGCCAGGTGTCAACCAAGGTATAGGACATATAACCCCACCATAACACTAACGACTGTCACGTGTTGTCAGTCTTCTCTCTGCAGAGTAAGCAAGCTTACACAGTTCTCCAAAATGTCAGAGTTCTCTTAAATGCAAGGTTGACCTGCCGTGTATCTGTTTGTATGCAGTATTGTCACGACACGTTCACATTTAATTTGTTAAGGTGAATTTAATTTCAACTTTTTGAATTTTGTATGTTTTCTTTGTTTGTTTTGTTTTTCTTTTTGAGTCCACCGACCCAGAGTGGTCCATCGTCCATTTGTTTCAGTGTGATCGAGACTCTAAGATGCCTTTATGTCACAAAGCTGAATTGTTTACTACGGGATGAAAGCTTCCACAGATGTGCAATCAATGCCTTTTCAGATGATAGTGAAACCCATGTCTGTGCTTTGGTTTGTTTGATTTCTTTTTTACTCCAACGTTACGTGTTTGTTAAGTAACAGTTGGCCACCGTGTGAGTTTTAAGTGACCTTGTTTACCTCGATCAGTACAGTTGCTTCAGTGAAGCCCCAGTTTTATTGGGATAAGGGAGCAGATGAATGGGTGTGACAGATGTTATTTTTCTATCCTGTTTGGGAGGAATTATGTTTGTTGTCTGTTTATCTCTCAGCACTCGAAACTATTAGAGCTGCTCTCCAATCGTGTTACATTTGTCCAGCTGTTCAGCGTCATTTGATACAGACCTTTATTGTTTTTGGTGGGTGGGAAGTTGAGGTCTCCCTCCGTGCCGCTGTGATATGCAGCAGCCCGGCTGGTGAGTCATCCAGGACTCTTATCTGGAAAAAGCTCATAGGACAGATCTGACTGACTCAATAAAACGAAAAAAAAAAAAAAATCAAGATGTTTCCTTATTTTCATTCTTAACATGCCTTTGAATCAGGTGGAAATAGAGAGGAAATGCTTCTTATTTGAAAGTCTTAAATGAACCTTTCCGCTACGTTTCGAGGGGTTTTCCCTCTTACAAGAACACGATGGGAGATATTTATGAGGCTCTCTCTCCGGGGCGCTGAACACTTCCTTTTCCCTTCCTTGTTAAAAAGCTCAACATGACTTGCATCATGAATACTGTATAAGCTACACTTCCGTTATCATCTCTGACCAAAACTCCTTCTTTTAAATATTTAGTTTCAACATAATTATACATCGTAGCATGGTGATATAAACCATCCAGGGGTGAAGGAGACATGCAGAGAAGGTGGGGTGGAGGAATTAAGACAGGGCGATAAAAAGGATGGAGAGGAAGCATAAACGTTTAGTTCACCTCTAGGACTTCACCTGCTTTTTGGTTAGGAGCTGATAATTACTATTTAATAGAAAGTGGATGGACGACAGCTGGGATACGCACAGGATGAATGAGCGGGGGAAGATGGTTTCCTCGGACAGCGCGTACATGTCATCCACAGAGGATGGACAGACGCCCACGGCCATCACCTACCCTTATAATGAAGAACTAACACACAAGGTATTTATGTAACTATATTAAAAATGATGCGGGAAACTAACAATATACAAAGTGAAATTCCAGATTACCACAGGAAAAAAATATAAAATCTTAATTTACTTTTAAATTAACTTTCAAAAGGATGTGCTTTTTTAAATAATTAACTATTCTTTCCACAGTGACTCCTTCTGTGTCATTTTCTGGAAACATCTGTACCCAACAATAATCTAATAGCTCAGTGATCTAATGCCACCCAATATAACCTCCCTGTAGTACTAGGGGGTTATGGGAGTGCAGTGTGTCATGATTTATGAGTGTGAATGGATGAATGCGACATGTTGGATAAAATTAAAAAACTAAAAGCGCTGTCTAAGAACTGTAAAGAGCACATCACTTAATGTTCACCACCAATTTCGCGTTAGTCATCGGTCAGCAGGATAACTTCTGGACTTTGTCACAATCACAGGAGCTGCACAGTTTTAACTAAAGACAAAGCAAGTGAAATCCTGTTTATTGTCTCCGATTGTGGGCATTTCTTGCAGATAGTCTAATGGTTTAATCGCTCTGAATGCTCCGTAATTCCATTACTGGATATGTGTGAAACAAGTATTCTATTATGGTAAGCCAAGAACAAGCTCCTGCTTCCTCACTAATTGAATTCATGGATGCATTTGCTGTTTTGCCGAGTTCTAGCCTGCCAGCAGCCCCAGCACATACTACATACTGATGGTTCCAATTTTGTTTGCAGGCTGCACTGAGCCAGTTGGCTCTCAACTCTTTAAATATCCAGTAAATGTTGAAGTCCTACATGAAAACGTGTGACAAGAAACTGCTTTGGCGAGAAAGTAGAAAATAAAATATGCACTGTAAAAGCAAAAACCTGCAGTCTTTTCAGCGTTTTACCAGAAGGAACGTGGGGTGATGTGCTCTCTCTTTTGGATGTTCAGTTTGAGCTCGAATTTTAATCTCATCATGGAAAGACCTCTGCAGTGTAGCAACGCTGTCACAACTAGTTTGACAAAATGTCAAATTTGGCTCCGGCAAAAGCACCAAACATGCCGAAACATATGTGGGATTCTGCTGGCCTCTAAAGCTGTCCTGGGTCTCCTCAGTGTCAGGGTTCAGACAGGTCTCTGAAAAAGCTGTAGTTACCCCCCCCCCCCACCTCCCGCTTTATAACATCCACACCACCAGTCTCCTGTGCTTTGACTTCTGTTTCATGGCTGCTCTCGTCTCCAGTGTCAGTCCTGAAAACGCTGCCAGCATGCTGACATCAAAATTTCATGTAGGTGGTATGAAATAGTAATCTGATGGTTTCCGAGGGGGCCGCACACTACATCTAAGCTGGTCTGCATTGTTTCTACTTCAGGTGCTCATACCTGCTCTCTCTTTGAAAGGGATGCAAGCAAACACTTTATGTTATATCTGCTATTGCAGACTAAAAGCATCCTGCTCCGGAGTTTCCATCAAAAGGAAGCACGCTGGAGAGCGAGGGAGCCACGTAGCCTCAGATGTTCGGTTTGCATGTCACCTTGTTAGATTTTTAATGTGGGGAGCAAATTGAATGTGCAGAACATGAATATCGGTGTGTAAAGTGAGGAGTACAGAGGCTGCCTGCTGTCACGCTGCACTCTATCTGAGCTCCTTGACACTGCAGATAAGAAGCAGGCGGTGGAGTCTGGCCTGCTGGAGGAGGAGGAGGGTGAGGAGGACTTCTGTGTATGGAGAGGCGGTGGGGTGAGTAATGTCAATAAAGAAGGCAAGCATCTGCTGCCAAGGACCTCAAGGCTGGGTACTCTAGAAGCCAGGGAGACAATAACCATGGCGACAAGGCCAGTTGTTGCCAGAGCTGCGGTGGCAAGTCAGATGGCAGCTGGGGTGATGGATGACCCTCAGCAAACAGAGCCAGCGGCCGTTTCTGTGGCGCTGCGTCTTGCTTTTGTGCGTGCGTCACATTCTCGGTCTGAAACGTGTACAAGAACATTTCACACCTGCATGACATCTTAAAGTATGTTTGTGTGAGATCTTTTCAGTTAAATTAAGCTGGCAGTAAAATAACAAATCAAATAAAACTGCAGTATTACCACCAAAATGTTTTTGTTCCAAAGAAACGTGTCCCCTGTAGGACCCTAATGTGGTAATTTAGCTATTCTCAAAGTCAACACCCTGAAAATCCTTCCACCCAAATATTAAATCTTCACTCTAATCAAATTACAAGAGAGTTTACGTTGGCTCACCTGCAGTACCTTGGAAGGCCATCAGGGGGCCCTGGCTCTCTCTTTGGGAATCACTACTGTGTTAACGAGTTGTGCTTCCCACCTGAGCTTCTGGTGAAACTGCTGCCGAAGCATTTTTTTTTAAATCAACATTATGTTGCAAATAAATAGTAAAATTTAAAAGAGCAAATTATTACACATAATTTATGGACATCTGTGGTTTGATTTCTTTGCATGCGTGGATTGGATGGGTTGTTAAGACTGTGAGAATTTCATTTCAATGGCAGCTTTAGAAATAGTTACTTAGAAAACCGCTGACGTGTTCAGTTCTTATTTTACCTGCTGTATCTTCCTGGTGAGATGATGGTAGTGTTACACATCAAGGTTGTTATAGTTAACTAAAACTAAACTGAAACTAAATGGGAAACAAGATTTTATAAATAAAAACACATTTATATTACAGCTTGTGAGTCCACTGCTTTTAAAATATGTGTTTTTATTGTAATACCTGCACTGATTTTAATAAATCTTCCCTTTAGTATGACTTACAATATACAACAACACCTAAAAAGACTAGAACTCACACTGAAGGTAATAAAAACTAAACTAAAACTAAAGATTTTGAACCAATGAACTAAAACAAACAATCAAAAAATAACTGAAACTAAACCGAACTAAAACCAACAGGTCAATATGAAATAAAAGTTCAAACATATGAAAAAATACAAAACTATGATGACTCTGCTGCCCAGAACCTTAGAATATATTTAGATTTAAAACCTCCACATGTGACATTTTTGTGCTGTTTCTATAGATCCACTGTAATCTGTAATGCATATGTAACATGATGCAGTGGGGGGATAATTGATGTTGAGTCCTGGGTTCAAATCCAGCCTGGGGCCTTTCTGTATGCAGTTTGAATGGATGGTTGTCTGTTTGTGTAATCCCTGTGATGGACAGGTTAGCTGGGATAGACTCCAAACTCTAATTTGGAAAAGCAGAAGAAAATTAATAGATTCCACTTGCTTATTTTTAAGATATCCTAACCTGATGCTAAGAAGTTGTTTTGCTAAACTGTAACTTGCCTGAACTAAAATTAGTTGGTGACACTTTATAAAGCGGCGCATGAACACAAGAAATTTCAACGTATTTTATTTGAAATTATGATGTAATTATATTTACCTACAAATACTTAAAGTTAGATGAACTAGAATAAGGGGATAACAAGTCTGGCTTTTACACAAAAAGATATTACTATGCTGTGAGTACATTTAAGTGCAATTTCATGGTAATTTTGCAAGAAAACCAAATTATTTCCCCATTTTACATCCTAAATATGCTGTACTTTTCAGGGCACGGGCTGTATTATGAAGTGCATTCATCTCACCTGAATATTCGTTAGGTTAATGTACGTGATCGATGTTTTATTACTCAACAGTCCTTTTATGTATACTACAAATGTGACGAAGACTGTTCTCCCTGACCAGCTTAAAGTGAAAATAAATGTGTGTGACCTATTAGAGAGCCAAAGTTAAGCCACTCCATAATATGACCTGCACCCTGAAAAGTACAGTGTAGTTACAATGTAAGATGGGGAAATACACTTTATTTTTCCACAAAATTAATATATTATTCAACACTTTACTGAAAGAATAGTTTGTGTCCTGTGAAATTTCCGTAGGTATGCAATACTTAAAGTTAATCAAATTATTTTGGCACATTGCACACTACTTAAAATGAGTTATACACAACTTAAATGTACTCACAGCATAGTCATTTCTTTATTTCATGTAAACACCTGACCTTTTACCCCTTTATTCTAGTGTAGCTACCTGTAAGTATTTGTAGGTAAATATAATTATATTGTAGTTTCAAATAAAATACACTAAAATACCATGTAATTACAGGGTAATTACACCTTTAGTCACGGGCTGTATTATAAAGTGTTACCTGTTGGTTAACACCTCTGTATCCAAAGCTCTTTACTTTGATGAGCTGTGCTTAGGTTAACAGTTAGAACTGAAGTGAATCTGTGATGTCTAAGAGAAAAATGGGAGTAACAGAGAGATAGTGGCACCATAAGGGTACAGGAGCAGATGTGAGGCATCAGTCTGAGACGTGAGCACGGATCTCGCACACATAACCCGATTACATTCCCGCTTCGATTACAAGCCCATTGTGCTTCCCCCTTTTTGCTGTTATTGACTCCCAGCTCCGGCTGTCACACAGCATCATGGAGCACAGAGCTCCACACTGAGCAGCCTATGAACACACGCATTGTCCTACACCGCCTGTGCCCACACAGCGCAGGGCCTCGGGCGACAAGTAGAAGCTGCCGCACTGAAGCCTGCATGATGTTGCCTCTGTCTCTCTGTAAATCTGTCTGCAGACCATCCTGGTGGGGGACAGCGGAGTGGGCAAGACCTCCCTGCTGGTTCAGTTTGACCAGGGCAAGTTCATCGCAGGGTCCTTCACCTCCACCGTGGGCATCGGCTTCACGGTGAGTCCACTTTTCATGTCCACCGCTCACCCCACCCACTCTGTATTTGTTCTGGCTCACACATACTTCTGCCTTGCTCGCCCGTGTGTCTGTGTGTGTGTATATATATATATATGTGTATGCTTTCTCTCCCTCCTCCTCCCACCTCATTAAGCCGCTGACTTCACCCGAGTGTTGAGGGAGATGTCACCGTGATGGGCTGTTTGCACTAAAGTCGTGACATTTGCTGCGAAGCAAATCTTCTCTGTTTGGGTGCTGGGGAGTGTTTGACTCCTTCGGTATGTGTCAGTGAAGTGCGATGTGAATCAGCGGCGCTTCTCCAGTGCGCCAATGTTGCATTTTATCACTGCATTCATTATAATCCTTACCACACTGCAGGGGTTAAGGATTATAGTCAATGATGCCAATGCTACAATTGAAATTACTATCAGGAGAGCACAAGCGATGGATGCTGAGGCGTGCAGGCTATTTGCTGCTGGATGTTTGTTGCAAAGATGCTTCCAACAAGACTGATTTGATGCTTTGTGACATTTTTTTTTTTTTTGGTGGCTGAGGGTCAGGCTGGGTGACAAGTGAAGGCCAAAAGAGACAAACAGGAGGCATGCATGGCTTAGTCTGGTGGATTTTTTCCCCCTTGTTGCCACACTGATGATAACTTTGGCTTTGTGTCATTGCCATTAGTGCAGCACAAAGGAGGGGGCAAATCTGCGGGAAAGTAGAAAACTGGCTTTGGCATTGCACATTTGAATAAGTTTGCAGAAATGTATGATCTAAGGTTCAAACGCCCTGCAGAAAGATGCACTACAAAAATAAATAGATAAATAAATAAATCTCCTGGAAGCGTAAGTGTGCTGGATTAAAGTCAGGGGTGAGACAGGGTGTGCAAAAAGCGCCTTTCATTGGGTGTCTGCAGGCGACACTTTGAAAGGACCTGGCTGAGATGATCAGCAAGGTGGAAATTCAGGCAGTTGTGCTGAGCTGGCCGGAACAAATTGAGATTTAAAGCTTTTTCAGTCTCTGCGTTCAGATATTTTAGACATGTCTTCTCTTCATAAGCCGTAAAGCAGTGAACCGGGGGGAAAAACGGGCACGCAGGAACTGGTAACTGACAGTTTATCTGATACGATCTGAAATGTTAAATTGACTCATTTTCCTCAGCTGCACCTCCAACGTGCTGCTCTGACACGGCTCCGTCATGTCAGTTAGTGAGTGTTTTTTCCACGTGGAGTAATTTGTTGAGAGTGAGAGACGCGAGTTCTTTGATGAGAACTGTGCAGGTTTGATTTAAATTACTATAACTGAGCAAATAAAGCAACACGACAAAAGTGGCACGAGGTTAAAAAAAAAGAAGACTTACACAGAGCTGTGAAAGTATTTGCCACCTTCCTGATTTCTTAGCTTTTTTGTACATTTGCCAAACTTAAATGTTTCAGATCATCAAACAAGTTTTTTTTTTAATGGTGATTTAATTGGTGGAGGGGAAAAAAAGTTATCCAAACTTACCTGGCCTTGTGTGAAAAAGTAATTGCCCTCTAAACCTAATAACTGGCTGTGCCACTCTTAGTAGCAAGAACTGCAATCAAGTGTTTGTGATAGCTGACAGTGAATCTTTCACACAATAGAAGGAATTTTGGCCCAGATTTGTTTTAATTCAGCCACACTGGAGGGTTTTCAAGCACGAACAGCCTATTTAAGGTCATGACTTTGACTAGGCCAATCCAAAAGCTTAATTTTGATGTTTTTAAGACATTTTAAGACATTTAAGACATCATTGTCTTGCTCCAGAACTCAAGGGCCTTTCAGCTTCAGGGGACAAACTCATGGTCAGAAAATATCCTTCAGGATTTTCTAGTAGAGAGCAGAATTCATTGTTCCAACATTTGCAACAAGTTGTTTAACTTTGTGTTTTTTTGGTCAGCAGGGGTTTTCTCCATAGATCCCAGTCGCTTTTGTATTGTTGAATCATGAACTCTGAATTTAACTGAGGCAAATGAGGCCTGCAGTTCTTTAGATGTTGTTCTGGCTTCTTTGTGACCTGAATGAATCGCTGATGCGCTCCTGCAGTCCGTTTTTGTTGGCAAGAAATTTATGGGAAGATTCAATATAAGTTTTCCCCCTTTGTGGTTCACTGGAGTCCCAAAGCCTTAGAAATATCTTTGTAACCCTTTACAGACTGATACATGTCAGTGACTTTGTTTTTCAGCTGTTCCTTTTAGAAATCTGTTGCATCATCTAAGGAGCCTGGAAAGGAAAGTGACTGGACTTTTTGCTTTTCTTTCCAAGCTCCTTAGAGTCCTGTGACCTGGATGACTGACAAACCAGACAGACATATTGCGTTTTGAAATCTTTTAGCCTGCTTCAGTTTGTCAGACAGCTTCTGTTTCATTGATTTCTTTATCCAACATGTCTGGCAGTAATCAGGCCTGGGTGTGGCTTTCAGCTCTCCAAGAAAAAACAATGTGGTTAACCACAGTTAACTCATGATTTAACAAAGGATCACACGCAGCCACGAAGATTGGGGTCGCTTTTTTCCCCCCAAAATGAATTAAATCTCCATTTTAAAAAGAAACTCGGAAGTAAAACAGGAAACAAATGCGGACACAGACGGCTAGGATGCCAACCACAAAACCACGACATGGCCAGCTCCATGTTTTCTCATTATGTTAATGCAAGAGGGGGAGACGCTGCTGCCGCTGACGGGGACTCATGAGCTCATATGTGTGAGCGGCAGATCGCATGTCAGTTACGTAACATAAATGATCTGTGACCGTGCCGCCTTTAGTCCCGTCTGAGCGCGGAGAGTCTCCTCTCCGAACGGCAGGTGGAGACAAACACTGTCTGCTGCTGTAGCTGGAAACTGGGAGGACAACTGGTCGATCAAGAAGGCGCAAGAATAACAAAAGACTCAAACCAGTTTAACAAGACTCGATAGAATGTCCCAGGATAACAAAAAAAGATGTTTGTAAAAATTGGGCACATATTAGGTTTTGGTGTGTGCGCAGGGATGTTGATGGTGGTGTAAATGAACAGCCAAGTATGATTTGTGGATCTTTAAACTAGTAGTCCGTCCACCTCTCACCTGTGCGTGTGCGTGTGGATGGGGTGGGGTGGGGTGTGGC